GGGCCCGGGGAGCGGGGCCCCAGTGGGGGCCGAGGCGGGAGCCGCACAGCCGGGCTCCAGAGCTCCGACTCCTCCTCCCCCGGCGCCGCCGCCGCCGGCTGCACCGGGTCCTAAAGCCGCGCGTCTAAAGAGGATGATGCGCCTGGCGGCCGAGTTGCTACTGCTGCTGGGATTGCTGCTGCTCACGCTGCACATTACAGTGTTGCGCGGCTCCGGGGCCGTCGACGGGCAGGACGCGGCCGCAGGCAACAGTAGCCGGGCCCAGCTGCAGGTGAGTGAGCTGCCGGAGGGGGGCGTGGGCGGCTGCGGGTACTCGGGTAGGGGGTGCGGAGCGAGAGCCAGATGGAATCGAGGAGGCGGGCCCCAGCCCTCCGAAAAGCAGCTGTTCTGGCAGCAGTTTTGCTCAGGCAACCTTCGTTGGCAGAGGCAGAGCCGGGGCAAGTGCGGGGAGGCTAGATCTGACTACCAAACCAACCCATGCACGCCTCCTGGGTTCTACCAAGTCAGGTCCTAAGGGAGGCGAGATTTGGGATGAGACGTGAAGTATCTGAATTATTTGTGGCTTTTTAAGACTTAAGAAAAGATTTCTTCCAAGCGTCTGAGGATCAATTTATGAATAGGATTCTGTTGACTTATTTCAGTTCCAAAACCAGACATATAGCGAAACTGGAGAGGGAGGAGTGGGCGTCATAAGCTATGTGCGTTCTGGTTTCCTAAGAAAGAATTGCCCAGGTAGGCATTTGCTTGGGTTCCGTGACACATGTCAGATTGAGCTCGGACTTTTAAAGCTTTCCTCTCATATTGTTGTTGTTGTTAAGTCCCGTCGAGTCGGTTCCGACCCATAGAGACCCAGTATAGGATTTCCCCGACTTTGCGGTCCAGCGCATTAACCCACAGCGCCCACCAGGACACCTTCCTCTTGTTGTTGTGTTGTGAAGTGCAGCCTAGTCGATTCCGACCCCATAGTGGCCCTGTATGTTTCCGAGGAGCAGCAGGTGAGCTTGAACCTCCGACCCTGCAGTTGTTGGCTTTTCAGTCTGGGACATTAACTCACAGCGCCACACCACGACTCCTCCCACATTGTTGTTGGTTCCAACTCATAGTGACCCTGCACAGGGTTTCCAAGGCTGTAAATCTTTACGGGAGCAGAAAGCCTCATCTTTCTCCCATGGAACAGCTGGTAGTTTCGAACTGCTGACCCTGAGGTTAGCAGTCCTATTCGTAACCACTATGCTACCAGACTAGGTCCTCTTAAACTCTTTTGCAGTGTGGAGATAAGCATTATTTGTTGTTCCCAGATGGCTTTATAATCATTCTGGTGGTGGTGGTGTGCAGTGTAGTCAGTACCGACTCATAGTGACCCTGCTGTACTTAACGGGAGCAGAAAGCCTAATCTTTCTCCCGCGGAACAGGGTAGTTTTGAACTGACCATGATGTTTGCAGCCCGATTTGTAAGTAACCACTATGCTAGCTGGTTCTAATACATTTAAAAACTTGACTGTTAAAAAAATTCATTAAACTCTTCCATAGTGTTTACTGTGTGCTACTGTTTTAATTAAGGGGTTCTGGTAGGATGGTGGTTACGAATCGGGCTGTGAACCGCAAGGTCAGCAGGTCAGCAGAGTGTGGCTCTGTGTGTTAATGCGTTGAACTGCATAGTGGGTTTGAACAGTAAAGTCAGCAGTTCAAGCTCACCAGCCGCTCTTCTGAAACTCTATACAGGGTCTCTATGGGTCGGAACGGACTCAACGGCACTTAACAATAACAACCACTTTAGTGTAGTGGGTTACGAGTTGGGCTGCAAACCGCAAGGTCAGCCGTTCGAATCTACCAGCTCTTCTGTGGGAGAAAGATGAGACTTTCAGCTTTTGTAAAGATTTACAGCCTGTGAAACCTTATACAGGATCACTATGAGCCTATACTGACTTCGTGGCCCACAACCACCACCACTGTTTTAAGTGCTTTACTGATTAAGTTTATTTGGTATGGGGCTGTGTCATAAGCCTTCGGTTGCAATGTCGGTTGAAGTGCACCAGCCGCTCCTCAGAAACCCTATACTGGGTCGTTATGAGTCAGAACCTACTCTACAGCACTTAAAAAAACAACAACAACAATCATAATCCTGATATGCATTACTGTTAATATCCGTACTTTGGTGAGGATATTAATATTAATAATCCCCACTTTATAGACATGAAAACTGAGGTACAGAAAGGTTAAATAACTTACCCTTGTTCACACAATACACATTCCAAACTCCTAATTACTCTAAAGTTTTCTGTCTGCCAGAGTACTGATAAAGTAAAGTAATTCTGACCCAAACGCAGGCATGGAAAGTTATGTACTCCAGAAGCCTAAAATTCTTTTAAACTTGGGCAATTTCTGGAAATGTCCTGATTTTCTGGGACTTTCTCCTTTTCTCTGGGGTTCAACAGGTACAGTGGCAGATTGATGGAATGTCTTTGAAGAAAATAAAGATACCTCCAACCTGTAGTCTATGATCCACCCACCAGGCTAACACTTTAGGACTCATTTTTAATATCTTCAAGATTTCTGGAAATCGTATTTTATATATATGATGATTTCTTTCCTCATGGACTCAAGAAAGGTCTTAAAAATGATGTTCTGTGGAAAAGTAAATTTGGCAGATTCCTTTATGAAGTGTTTGCTATCATTAGAATAACCTGGGGCTGGCCTTTTTGGCCTGAACAGTAAGCTAATGAGAGGAGCAGCTGGTGGAATTAACAACTGCAAAAGGAAGTGGATTGAATTCTCTAAGGGGGATTTGGTTAAATAATTGCCTCAAGGGGCTTGAAGTAATAGGAGTTTTGAGAGAGTAGTCCTCACTGGAATATCTTGGGTCCCAAGTAGCTGCTAAACCATTAACTTTTGCTTATCTTATAATAATGCTTAGTTGTTTCGTCCACTAAATACACACATTTACCCCAGCAGAATGATGAGTTTAACAGTTTATTTCATAATTTTACTCTCTTTTGTAATTTGTTATTATAAAAGTTTTATATTCTTCCTGACTGAAGTTATTTCTTTGGCCCTCTCTGTCTCCAAAGACATTACAGTTCAAATGGAGAAAATATGTTCTTGCCAAGAGAAGAGGTCTGCAAAAGACATTTAGTATTCTGTCATTTGTAGGCCTTAGAAAACGAATTCCCTAATAGCAGGTGTATTTGGAGACAAAACTGCGAATACTATATTCTTTCCTTTTACTGGGTATTCTTAACCCAAGACTTAAATTCCATCTAAATGTGTTAGGTCTGTGAGTCAACTCATTTCTAACAAGAAAGTTAATCAATTCTTATACATTATTTTTTTGCTATCTCTGTATTAAAATGTTTTAAAATATGAGGTTGCGTTTGTCAGAGATGTGCAGTGCTGGGTCTATTAACCCAAGTTGTAGTATATTTGGGATCATTTTTAAGAGGTATTCTTATTATTTGGTAGCCTGGACATATCAAGGGCATCCAATAAAATAGTAGTAATAACAATAATAGCTAAGATTTGTCAAATGTCTTTTATGTGTCAGACAATGTTATTATTAGTACTTGATAAAATCTTCACAAGAGTAAGCATTATCACTGTCCAAGTTGCACATGAGGAAGCTGGTATTATATAACTTGCCCAAGGTTGCACCGATAAAAGCTGCCTAATTTGTTTTTGTTGTGTTATAGTGTAAAAATCTTGGAAGCCTACTTGTATTCCAAGTCCATGGCAAGGCCACAAGAGATAGAAGCCTTTGAATGGTTCACATTTCCATATGCACCATGACTATCTTATCAAGCCAAATATCAACACATATATAACATAGTGGGTTACAAGTTGGACTAGGCACAGCAAATTCAGCAGTTCAAGTTTACCAGCTGTTTTGCGGGAGAAAGAAGGAGGTTTTCTGGCCTCAAAGATTGATGGCTTTGGAAGTCCTATATAGAGTCTGTATGAATTAGTACTGATTCAATGGCATGTCACCATCGCCACCAGTATATACATAGGTGCATACATACATGCTATTTTTGTTAAGTCCCATCAAGTCAGTTCTGATGCATAGCAAACTGAATAGGGTTTCTGAGGAGTAGCTGGTAGGTTTGAACTGCCGAACTTGTGGTTCAAAATCCAGTGCTACACCAGGAATCCACATACATACATATGTACACTGTATGTGTGTGTGCAAATATGTTCTGACATGACTTTTTTGGTAATTGCAGCATATTAGGGAACATGTTTTGGACTCTGTAAATGACTGTTCCTGTATGCTGTTACAAGGTGGCAGTAACGTGATTTGAGCACATTCTCCCTACTGGTTATCTGGTTCGTGAAAAGAATGATAATAGTCTTTGTACAGTTTTCTGTGTTTTAAAATAAATTTTACAGTTGGCACTGTGGATTAATGCACTGGACTGTAAAGTTGGTTTGAATCCCAAAGTCGCTCCTTGGAAACTATACAGAGTTGCTTTGTGTCAGAACCAACTCAACAGCGCTTAACAACAAGTGCAGAAAATTCTCTGAAGCATCACCTTTCTTCATTTTTTAATGAAATTTCGCCTCCTCCCTGAGATAAATTTGATTCATGTGAATCAGATGCTTTCATAGGTTTTTAATGAATAATACTGGGAACATAATCATATGCAATAAAAGCAGTCTGGAAAACAAACTTCCCTCCCCTTCTCTCCCCTTCTCTCCTCTCTTATCCCTTACTTCCTATTTTCTCTCATCCCTCCTCTCCCCTTTCATTGTCTTTTCCCTTCCCTTCCCTTCCCTTTTTTCTCTCTCTTTGCACTTTTAAAGATTGCTTTAAGTGAGGTATAACTTACACACATAAGAATAGATAGATCTTAAGTATTCAGCTCTGTTTTTGACAATTGCGTATGTCCACTGGAAGTACCATGGACTGCCAGAACAAGAAATAAGTCTGTCTTGAAAGAAAAACAGCTAGAATGTTCCTTAGAAACAAGGTTGGTGAGACTTTGTCTCAAGTACTTTGGACTTTATCAGGAGGGACCAGTCCCTAGAAAAAAGGAGGAGAATCTTCATGGGATGCAATGACGTAGTGGCAGGAACACTGGGCTCAAGCATAACAACAATTGTGAGGATGTTATAGGGCCAGGCGGTAATTCATTCTGCTGAACTTAGGGTTGCTATGAGTTGGAATCAACTTGACAACACCTAACAATATAACTACCATCAAAAAGAAAATTTAGAACATCCCCATCACACCAGAAAGTCTTCTAGTGCACCTTTGTAGACAATTCATTCCCCCTA